TAATCATCGTAACGTTTTTGAATAAACGTTTTTCGCATATGTTGTGAAATAAATCATAGTAGCATAGTCACGGTTTAATGATTATAAGAAAATATTTAGGTTGCTTCGAATCCAGTACTATCTCTCGATTGTGGTAATGCTTTTACCGTCCAGAGAATAAGATGAATTATAATTACCAACAGAATGTGAGATATTAGTTGGTCACGGTTCGGTTTTTACAGAGGCCACACCTTAATCCGTTTGATAGTCAAACTTCTAATAATAATAATAACTATATGCATATGATACTTTTGTATATACTCTTCATGATACCATGTGCATGACCAATTGTACAAATCCAAAAAAAAAAAAAAAAAACTATAACTATTAAATATGTACAGAATAGATGAATGAAACCATAATTCTCCATAAATAATGATTTTAACGAGAAATAAAAGATTTCTGTGAAAATAATTATTTTAAATTGTTTCCAAAGAAACAAAATTAGTAGAGGAGGATACGTCAAATTTGTTCTTTTAAGTGGAATTGTATAAAATATAAATTTTATAAAATTCGAATTGAAATAAAGATCTTAAATTAATTAATTTTTTTTTTTTTTTTTCATTATTTCGTAAGCGATTCCAAGTTGGATGTTCTCGAATACATCCAATAATTTCCCCAATTACACAAACTGACACGTATCATCCACACGATAATCCCAGTCGAATCGATTAAAGGAACGATGCCGATCGAACGAGTGAATGAAAATCGTGGCCTTAAATCGTTCTATCCTGTTCCAAAGCGATTAGCGTGCATTGACGAACGATGGAAATCGATTATTTCGATCGTTGCGTCGGTAAAATACTTTCTCCGCTCGTTGCCGATTATCAATCGGTCGAGTGAGGGCCGACACGAGGTAGAACCGGATAGAATCCGCTAATAACGCTGAAATAACAGCGTTCAGGGTGCATAACCGATGGAAATTGCCGAGTGTTGCGCGACTCCTGAATAAAAAAAAAAAAAAAACACCGATGGATTGCCACAGTGTGGCTCGCTCGGTCGGTAATAAAGACGATTTCCTTTGCATCGCGTTAATGCATCAGGGACGAGTCGTTAAAGAAACATTCGGATGCTTCGTTAAAAGCAATGATTATACCGTCTTAATGAAAGAAGAAACGGAGGATTCGCGGATCCATGGGCAAAAATCGCTTGTGATTCGTTACGACAGTTTTTACTTATGAGATAAGTACTTACTTATAATGTGAAACGCGTCAAATGAAACGTGAGATGAGCTTAAAGGGTTTTTATTGTATTGTTCTTGTATTTTTTTTTCTTTTTTTTTTTTTCTTTTTGAATTCGGAATTTCGTGACGACGACGATGGGTCGAGTTATTTTTTTTTATCTATGAGCTTTCTAAAATTTGCATAACTATAGCTGCATCATTTTTTGATCGAGGTTAGGAAGTTAAAGGTTCTGAAAAGCAGGATTGAAGTTTGCATTGTGGTATAGGTGTAATATGTTGTTACGTAATAAATTCACGAATCATTATATTATTTTTTAATAAAATGTCAATAATTTCTCGTCACTTAACCACGATATTATACAATGTGTTCCAATTCAAATTAACACAAGTTCGAAGAAAAATCGATGAAAGAAGACTTCAAAAAGTAGAGAGTCATCGAGAAAAATTAAAATCACTATTATCAGTGTAATCACGATCCCTAATCAGGACCATTTTCATCCAAACGCGTATTTCTCAGATATTATGAATGCTGTTTAATATTAACGGGTCAGTGACCGTGATTCCTTGGATGGGCTAAGTTGAACGATGGGAAAAAAGGAGCAGTAACGCGGAGGTGGGGGGAAAGGAAAAAGGTGCACGGTGACTGGATATGCCCCGAGTGTTCGGGTACATCCTGAGGCAGCAAAGTGTGACCAACGTGGCCGCTATCGATTTCACCTGGCGTTTCTTCCGATTGTTCAGGCCAGTTCATGCCTGGTATCGGGACAGGTAAGCGTACAATGGGACATCGTTCCTGTATCCCATCCTTTCCGTCGTTACTCGAACGCTTCTTACTCTTCCATTACCTTAGTTGTTATTCTTCTTCTTATTACTATTATTATTGGTATTGTGAGGCGGTTCGTATTAACGATCGAAATCGCCGCGATAATGTTAAGTCACGTTCCCGCCATTGGCGTCGCTGTCGTCGATGGAAAGTATGGCGGATCGAATCAATTCTATGTGAAAATTATGTGAATTTTGTATGAAATATTTTGCTTCCATTGGATTGTTTAAATTCATCGAATGCTGAAAATAAGATACAAGATATATCTTAAGATATTATCATCTTTTTTGATTTCTTTATATCGCTATTTTTCTATACAACAATAGGGAAATATTTCAGATAAAAATTGAATGATTCTAATAGAAGCACATTTTGATATTATTTATAATTTCGTATGTGGAAAAATCGTATGAAAGTTTAATTGTTCTTTTTCAATAGAACTTATTCATCGATATTTCTGAATTAGTTAGAATGTAAAAGAAGAAAAAGAAAAAGAAACAAATTCTTGAAAATTATATCAAATTCCAAGATATTTTATAAATAAACAGAATGAATGAAATTTTTAACTAAAAATTCGATTTTGTATTAGGAGAATATAAATTGATAAGTGATCGCTCGAGAAATTTTTAGAAATAACGTCGAATTCTCGGAATTTATTCTTGGAACTAATATATTTTTTGAATTTTGGAATTTTTAGAGATAAAATTTTTTAAATTTCCATTTTATAGAGATTGATCTAATTTTTTTCTACATTTTTGATCGATTTAAGTAACTATGACAATATATGCATCAAGAGATACATATAATTTCTAAGTCTACCACGTGATCAATTTTAATAATAATTTAATAATATTTTAATATTATTATATATTTTCATAATCTTAAAATATATATAGATAATTGCTTTTTATATATTCTATGCATATTTTAAATATATGTTTGTATTTTTTTCTTTTTTCTTTTTTAGTTGCTAGATGTATGATGATGACAAAGAATAAATATGGAAAGGATAGATGATACAAAAAAAGTAATATATCAAATTTTATAATTAGATATAAGTAAGCTGTTCAAAAGAAGAGTTGTTTCAGAAAATATAGCGGATTAAAAAAGTAAGTAAAAGATAAATACATCAAAATTTTATAACTAGATATAAATAAACTGTTGAAAAAAAGATTTATTTCAGAAAATATGGCAGATTAAAAAGGTAAGTATGAGGTAAGTATATCAAATTTTATAATTAGATATAAGTAAACTGTTAAAAAAAAGATTTACCATAAAAAATATTGATTAAAAAGGTAAGTATAAGGTAAGTATAAGGTAAGTACATTAAATTTTTAAAAAATTTTCGAAAATTTAAAGCCCTGGCGTTAAAATTTCGGTTTGTTTACAAACATTGGTTTGTTTATTTACATTTCCAATGTTTGTTTACAAAGGAAAAAGGTGCACGGTGACTGGATATGCCCCGAGTGTTCGGGTACATCCTGAGGCAGCAAAGTGTGACCAACGTGGCCGCTATCGATTTCACCTGGCGTTTCTTCCGATTGTTCAGGCCAGTTCATGCCTGGTATCGGGACAGGTAAGCGTACAATGGGACATCGTTCCTGTATCCCATCCTTTCCGTCGTTACTCGAACGCTTCTTACTCTTCCATTACCTTAGTTGTTATTCTTCTTCTTATTACTATTATTATTGGTATTGTGAGGCGGTTCGTATTAACGATCGAAATCGCCGCGATAATGTTAAGTCACGTTCCCGCCATTGGCGTCGCTGTCGTCGATGGAAAGTATGGCGGATCGAATCAATTCTATGTGAAAATTATGTGAATTTTGTATGAAATATTTTGCTTCCATTGGATTGTTTAAATTCATCGAATGCTGAAAATAAGATACAAGATATATCTTAAGATATTATCATCTTTTTTGATTTCTTTATATCGCTATTTTTCTATACAACAATAGGGAAATATTTCAGATAAAAATTGAATGATTCTAATAGAAGCACATTTTGATATTATTTATAATTTCGTATGTGGAAAAATCGTATGAAAGTTTAATTGTTCTTTTTCAATAGAACTTATTCATCGATATTTCTGAATTAGTTAGAATGTAAAAGAAGAAAAAGAAAAAGAAACAAATTCTTGAAAATTATATCAAATTCCAAGATATTTTATAAATAAACAGAATGAATGAAATTTTTAACTAAAAATTCGATTTTGTATTAGGAGAATATAAATTGATAAGTGATCGCTCGAGAAATTTTTAGAAATAACGTCGAATTCTCGGAATTTATTCTTGGAACTAATATATTTTTTGAATTTTGGAATTTTTAGAGATAAAATTTTTTAAATTTCCATTTTATAGAGATTGATCTAATTTTTTTCTACATTTTTGATCGATTTAAGTAACTATGACAATATATGCATCAAGAGATACATATAATTTCTAAGTCTACCACGTGATCAATTTTAATAATAATTTAATAATATTTTAATATTATTATATATTTTCATAATCTTAAAATATATATAGATAATTGCTTTTTATATATTCTATGCATATTTTAAATATATGTTTGTATTTTTTTCTTTTTTCTTTTTTAGTTGCTAGATGTATGATGATGACAAAGAAATAAATATGGAAAGGATAGATGATACAAAAAAAGTAAATATATCAAATTTTATAATTAGATATAAGTAAGCTGTTCAAAAGAAGAGTTGTTTCAGAAAATATAGCGGATTAAAAAAGTAAGTAAAAGATAAATACATCAAAATTTTATAACTAGATATAAATAAACTGTTGAAAAAAAGATTTATTTCAGAAAATATGGCAGATTAAAAAGGTAAGTATGAGGTAAGTATATCAAATTTTATAATTAGATATAAGTAAACTGTTAAAAAAAAGATTTACCATAAAAAATATTGATTAAAAAGGTAAGTATAAGGTAAGTATAAGGTAAGTACATTAAATTTTTAAAAAATTTTCGAAAATTTAAAGCCCTGGCGTTAAAATTTCGGTTTGTTTACAAACATTGGTTTGTTTATTTACATTTCCAATGTTTGTTTACATTCTCGATTTGTTTATTTACGTTTCCAATGTTTATTTTTATAAAATTTTTCGAAATTTTCGAAATTTTAAAGGCCTGGCGTTAAAATTTCGGTTTGTTTACAAACATTGGTTTGTTTATTTACATTTTCAATGTTTGTTTACATTCTCGATTTGTTTATTTACGTTTCCAATGTTTATTTTTATAAAATTTTTCGAAATTTTCGAAAATTTAAAGGCCTGGCGTTAAAATTTCGGTTTGTTTACAAACATTGGTTTGTTTATTTACATTTTCAATGTTTGTTTACATTCTCGGTTTGTTTATTTACGTTTCCAATGTTTATTTTTATAAAATTTTTCGAAATTTTCGAAATTTTAAAGGCCTGGCGTTAAAATTTCGGTTTGTTTACAAACATTGGTTTGTTTATTTACATTTTCAATGTTTGTTTACATTCTCGGTTTGTTTATTTACATTTTCGAAAATTTTCAAAAATTATTTGTAAAATACTTACCTTTACTTACCTCTACTTACCTTTTATTACTTACCTTTCTCTCAGCTGCTTTTTTATTTTTTTATGTTTTTCAACAGTTTTCTTAATTCTAAAGGGTTAAGGAATATAGATAATAGGAATTTAGGAACACGGGAATATTCAGGATTAAGGAACATGGATAATCGGAAAATAGGAAAAAAATAGGACTGAGGAATGTGGAGAAAAGGTAGTAGGAGAAAAGGAACACAGGAATAAATAGGATTAAGGAATATGGATAGTAGGAGTATAGGAAGATAGGAATATACAAAATTAGGAAATATGGATAGGAATAGAGGAATATAGGATAAAGGAACACGAATAATAAGGAAAATAGAAATATAGGAACACAGGAATAAATAGGATTAAGGAATATAGATAATAGGAGTCTAGAAACACAGGATTATTCAGGAATATGCATCATAGAAATATAAAAGATTACCTTTTTATGGAGAATACCCAGTTGTATCTGTCAGTGTACTGAAAAACACATAATTCTATTTAAAAAGACAAAGTTAATTCCTTTAAATTCTCCACATGTCCATCTGTAAAAAATTAATATAATTTAATAGGAGTTTTAAAGAGTTTTAAATACTTATCTTACATTTATCATTTGTATAACTATTTTCTATCAGATAACATTTTTTCTCCGTGCTCTGAAACCTTTTTTTTTTGCTCAATAAATACTTAAATGAAAATATTTCTTTTTACGTACATATTTTTTATAATGAAAGCTATTATATTTTATAATACTAAAGCTATAATAACTTTTATTTTATTTCTAATAGAATTAAAAAATAATGATTACTTTATATTATTTATTTCGATTATTTCGTTTGTTTTTCATAATATTAAAAAACTTTTTAGATAAAAGTTAAATGGTTTCGAAAAGGAAATATTCTTATGTTCTTAATTTTTCCATATGTTGATCCATAGAAGATTTATGAAAGTTAACGTTGATTTTTTAAATAGAATTTTATATTCTTTAATGCTTCAATAAATGCATCTCATCATTTTCTATAAAAAAAAAGTACTAAATTCCATATAGCAAATGACTTAAAGTTTAAAAAATAATTTAATTTAATTAAATATTTTTTAAACTTTTAATGGTTTTGTGCTATGAATGCCTTAGTACTTTTTTATAGAGACTATTGTGTTGCATTTATTAATTCATTAAAAAATATATAATTCCGTTTAAAGAAACACTGTAAATTTCCATAAGGCTTCAATGCGCCCATTTGTGAAAGAATTAAGAAAAAAACGTTCCTTTCTTCAAACCATATAATTTTTATCTCATTTTTTGATATCACATTATGAAATATAAATGAGATATTAAAATAATATCCCATTCTATATTTCCTTCAATCCATTAGATTTAAGTAAATTTTTAAAAAATAACTAATTCTTGAAGATACGACTGATAGAAAAGATAAAAGAAGGTAAGTACGAAAGGTAAGTATAAAAAAAGGTAAGAATAAATTCTACACTAATATTTGAATAACAACATTTTTTACGAGTTAACTTACAAAAAAACTGAGGGTACCAGAATATAGCCCTTTCCAAATCATTCAACTTCTATTCCAAGCATTTTTTGATATAAAGCATAATAAAGAAGATATTTAAGAAAAAAGATTGACATCAAAA